GAAATCGGGAGGCGATTCGAGTAACCTTTTTAAAAAAAATTCACGGGAGCCAATTCGTGTACGTCCGTTTTATTAGCGGCCCAAACGTTCCTGGTCCAAACGTGCTTCGCCCGATACCCACCGTGGTAGTCGTCCATGACCTTGAACCGACTAGAAAAAAAAACATGTAATTTATTCGATTATGTATCGAGTGAACTATATAATTAATAATAAACTAGAATTCATCATGTTGAAATATTTCGGGTCCGACATTCCGTCCGGGGTGTTTACATCTTCATACGCGTTCCTACCTGCGTCTTAGGTATACGACCGAATACGTAACCTCCTATCTACAATGATATCATAAACCTGTGCGTTTTTTTTTGTTATTATTATTCTTTAAGTTATTCGTTAGAGCGGAGTAATCATATTCAGGGGGAGTCTAATGGGGCTACAGCCCTCCCCGTTGACCGTGTAGTCTGTTAGCCAACAGCCGTTAACACTTCCTCGGTATAATATCATAATATTATACGTATTATCTATATACTTGGTAGATGTAAATTATTGTGTAATCTATAAAAAAAAAAAAACACGATTTAACGAAAAGTCCAAGCGAAGATAATGTTTTAATGGAGATTATTATTTTTCTTATCACTGAAACTTAGTTTCATACCCTCCTCCCATTTCAAATTCCTGGTTATGCCACTGAGTTTGAGTTGCTCATAAAACAAAAACGCACGCCACGGCAATGATTTTCCGCCACGCGATATCAGCACGGTGCAACTCGTTTGCGTGCATTTAAAATATCATTATAGTTTACCAGCAAATCCAAAAATCGTTTGCGCACATTAAAAATCAAAATTTTCAAATAAATGATTTCATTCTACTTACATATAGCATACATAAAGTGAAACGAACATTGTCCATCTTTCACAAACATTATACAAGTAATAATCAATTTAACACTCATTTACACTCATCCATATATACACCGAGTAATTAATCGACATAATTATTGAAATTCAATGTGTAACTGATTTAAAGATTTATTTGATATACAGTAAAAATCGTTAATTTTAAAAGAAAAAAGACAACAAACATAAGATACAATTGGAAAATGTCTGGAAAGGATATAAGTATGTAACTATTCGATCAATTAACTAAAAACTTGGACTTGAACGCCACAATTGAAAATTATTAAAAGTATATAATAAGTACCTACAGCTTATATTGTTAGGTAAATATGCGTATCTTTATGATTGTATCTTCATTGTATCTTTAAGAGTACGTTATACCCGCATCTACGGTCTCAGTCTAACTACCAGGGTTAACATGTAAAAATAATGCTTACGCTGAATAAGTAAAACTTGCTAAATTTTGATTTAAGAGTAAAAGTACCTATTATGAAATTTATAGTGAACAGTATTTTAGAGGGAATGTCATAGGTGTTTTTTGAATCACTTAAAAGTTACAAAAACTTAACAAATTTTTTTTTCGGCGTTTTTTTTTTTAATAAGCTAAAACATTTTTTTTAAAAAATAGCTTTTTCAGAAAAACGCGACGTCTTGCTCCCCGGAATATTATTTTCTATTAATTTCATAACGGGTGCTTTTACACTCAAACCAAAACTAGACGAGTTTCGTGTAGTCTGCGCGAGCATGTCTTTATCCCATACTGCTTTATATCCTGTATTTGTATGACGGAAACAACAAAATAATACACGTGTAACGCGTCCTTTTAACATTCAAACCTAAAACGTGCATGCGCAAACGATTCGTAAAAACGATGTTAAATGTGCGCGAAACGAGTTGCGTCCGTCTCGGCATAACGCGCGTGCGCGCACGGGTCAAATATCATTTAAATTTGAGGACAGCTCTGTATTTTCGAGGCGCCTGCTGGCCGCGTTTCGCAAACAGTGAGGCGACAACAATAATATTATAATAATCGTGATCGGCCTGCGCGCCGGGCGGACATCGTAACCGGTAAACCGCAAAATGTTTCCGTCCGGTATACCGCGCGCGATGCGGCCGAACCCGCCCGGGCCGTAACCGTCGTCGCGTCGTTATACGAATTAACACGATGAGATTATTCACCGATCGGGATTACCGGTTTTTTTTTTTTTTGTTTTTTTTTTCCGGTTATCGTTAAACGATCGCGCGCGCGAATTTTTCGGGCATGACGAAACGAGCGTGGCACGGCATATTCGGCGGCGGGCAATTACCGGCAATTTGCTTTTATTCGATTGATTACCCGAGTAAACTACTATATAGCGCGGGTAATATTCCGAAATTATTTTATCTATACCGAATCGAACAATAACAATAAAAAAAAAAAAAAAAATATCAATATTATAAAACACCCGTACCGTTGTACAATAAAACCGACTGCAAACTGTAGCTGTGAAAATCTCGTTCCCCTTCCTATAGCCATAGGCACACGACTAAAGGAGTGCAAGAAGGTAGTTAGCGGCCCCGAAAATACTCAAAAAGCTTGTCTACTGTATCGACTAAATATTTTTGTATTTAAATATATTTTATAATTAATAGGCAAATCTAAATACAGATTGCCTACAGACAATGCGCGTGTGTTTAAATAATAAAGTTAATAAAAGTTATGATGATACATTTTTGTACAAGATATAGTAAATGAAATGTATGGTTGCTTATTATTTATAATAAAGAGGATGGTTGAAACATTGATTCCGTGGGTCTGTGATGTGTTTATAATTTTAGCACCCGTAAGTGGTCTAGTTGCGCCTATGCTTATATTCTTATATATTACAATGCATTGTAAATTGTAACTTGTACATTTCCGGTAGGAAAATATTAAATAACTTGTTATAAAACCAAACAAAATCCAATTTCAAAACAATTATTACTGATGAGCATAATCACTGATCTGTTAGTCTTATGATACGAATAGTAAAAATGTTTGGTTATTCGAATAAAACAATTTAAAAATAAATTACTCGTAAAACGATAATGCTATTATATGTATTACTTTCCGATAGATAATTTATTATTTTACTAAAGTTATATTACCGATTTACAATCATTGGGTATGATCGCAGCGCGTTGGGCATAGACATATTATTAAATGTACTGTACTATAGGAAGCAACGGGGAACCGATATCCAGTGAGAGAGCTAATGCTCTCTATAGTTAGCGGGCATTTACGAGAGAGTAATTTCTTAAATTTAAATTTGAACAATAATCATATATACAGTAAAACGTACAAAAAAATACAATTTGATATAGATTAACCCTAAGAGACATAGCTTGTGTGGCGGGAAAAACGAGTTACAAAGAAAATAATTAGAAATAAAAACAACGTAAACTTTAAACATACATTTTATTATTTTTACGAATTCCGATGATTCAACATTTTTATTTTACACTACAAAATTGTATCATTATCCTTATCGACCAGCTTGGTATAACTATATGGATTATTATTGTTAAAATCGAGCTATGGATATTCATAGTTAATTGCATGGTGTAATAAATGTATACAAATATTTCATCCGTGATTGTCCCTAGCTGCCGCTATCCTTTCTCATTTGATATTGTTTACGGATATCATTTACGGGAGGGAGACGCATCCCATTTGTTCATAAATCTACGGTATTCGATTTTCGTTCAGTATGCTCATCTCTTTCACGTCCGGCTTACGTCACAGTTTTCCGCTATACTATCAGCAATACTAATGTTAGCTGATAAGTGGTGAAAAAGTTCGATGATATGCGGATGAAGTGATGAAATATGTGAGCGTGGTGATGTGCGTGTCAATTAAACTGTATGATTGTACTTATGTCAACAGCATATGGCCAGTATTCCAGCTATGTGGCCCAGAGACATACACAAGAGGAGTCCCCAGGTATCTGGACTCTACCGAAATTTAAGCTTCTCACCAAAAAATCAGATTATTGATACAATTATTAGTAGTTGGTGATACATTTTATGTTTAGACGCCCCCTCTCCCCAAAAAAAAATCCTGGCTACGTCCTTGAATAGTCACTAGTTTTTATTTTATTCGTAAAATTTGTGTAATCTTATATAAGGTACGTGGTTACTGTTGTATTCCTCTACAATAATTAATTTACGGGCCGATATCAATAGTTACAAGGACATAGCGTAGGACAACCGTATACCGAAAAAATGAAGTTTGAAAAAGAGTTGATACTGGAGATAGGTGTGGCCAATAGTGTAGGTGAGAAGTTGAGAAAGTATGATGAAGGGGAATTTAATTTTATCTGTACGCAACGATAAATTATTGCTAACGAAAAACTTTACTGAGTGGAGTACGGCCAGTAGTATTACTTTTTCAAAAATGTGTATTTTCATAACAACGATTGTTTAAAAAAAATTGAAAGGTTAAAACAATAAAAACTTGATATTAACAATAAATAAATAAAACGGTTACCGATGACAACCTTATTTTCAATCTTATTTAACCTAAAGAACTAGTTTTCCTTATTTTTTCGAATTCAAAAAAAATGACTTTTTAAAAGTACCGACTAAGCCAAAATGCCACGAACCATGCCTCTTGTCACGTTTTGATTGGAATACGATTTCTATGAGAAATGTTGTTTACGGACAATAATAAAAAAAAAAAAAAAACCTAAACATCGCAGTTAAACACTAAAAGCATTAAATCCTTCGCTTCACCAAAAAAGAAAAAATTGATTACTAATTTCTTAGTTTCATAACGCTTTTTATACTTTTAAATTCAAACTATGCAACTCATAATGTATCGACGGTTTGGTTTTGGATTTTTTTTTTTTCCAATAACCGTATTTTTAACAGAAAAAAAATTCTTTAAACGGCCAGGCGACTCTACTGCGTTCACATCCGTTTTGTCGCATTCGGTGTACGGGGTCTACAAACGTACGGCGATTGCGAAAACGAAACATTTTTACCCCTCGACGCGGCCGTAAAGTGCCCTGATACAGTGTGGCGGCGGTTACGCTCGCTTCGTAACGATAGTTTAATGATAATAATGATGATAATGATGCTGATAATAATGCTAATGTAATAATATAACGTACGCGTATATGTTAATCAGTTGCAGATATTATGTGGGCGCGCGAAATGTAGGCGTCGGGCGAGCTAGCATGCGGAGCGCCAGCACAGTGAGCGGCCCTCTACTGTCTGTTTCAACGCCTGCCAGCCAACAAAACCGGTTCGCTGCCGTCCACCTGCTCACCGGCCAATTATTGTATTTCATTGTCGAGGTGAGTGTAAAACGACGACGACGACGACGACGACGACGACGGACGAGTAGCGGTATAGGAAAGATAGAAAAAAAAAAAATAGTAATAAAAAAGGACGCGGAACGCGCGTGCGAGAGAACGATACAGCGGCGGCGCAGGAAAAAAATTAACGCCGCGACGCGGACGAGAGATGACGGAGAGAGAGAGAGAGAGAGAGAGAGAGTAATACCTGTAATATCATTTTCTTCCCCTCCCGATACCGATTTACGCACAATGTTATTGTTTACCGGACAAAAAATAACAATAATATTGTCGCGTCCGCCGCAGCGCGATTTTCGAACGCGGCCTCGGCTATAAAATACAGGGTGCGATTAATATTCTTTCGAACCGCACGAGCGGTTCCGATCGAGGGGATTATGCGGCAGTTGAAATATACTACGCAACGTAGACCGATTTGGAATTTTCGAAACGGATTCGGGTCGATTAACAACGGTTTACGGACGGTCTCGACGGAGGAAATTTTAAAAACGTACCAAAAAAATGCGGCGTGCCTTACGACGACGAATTTCTTTTTCGTTTTCGACCGTTCGATCGGTTTGTTGCAGTTCGCGATGCTTCCCATTCGTAACTCGCAATTCCTTTAACACCGCGCAACTATATTCTTATACTGTTCTTGCTGTGATAGATTTAGATACCTGGCCGGTCCTGATCCATCACGATTAGTTTTATATTCTCGGCCTTCCTCTTCCGATAAAACTTTTTTTTTACGTCACTTTCTATGACGCATCGCGTCAAGCTATCGAGTCATATATACTATGCCAAAGTTCTCGTTTTTCCTTTCTTCCGTACAATACTTCTTCGTGCGTTACTATTTCTAATGACGGAGAATATAAATAAAAAAAATATCATTTCGTCGATATCACAGCTGAACAAATTAATGTTTAAAATCACCTCCGCCATAAACCAATAAACGTGTTGATCAATCACAGTTCGTTTTCGAAATGTATTAAAATCCGTACAACCAAATCCTTACAGTTTTATCTGAATTTTCGATCTAAAACATCATATTCTTTATCCTTCTCCTAAATCGGACAATAGATTAGTGGAAAATGCTTCGTATTTAAAATGTAAAGACTTTTCAAATCCCTTAAATTTTATATTTAGGGGTTCAATTCAGTATCATAACTCGAAAACGTTTAGTAATAATTACTTTCAAATTATCTTTGGTCCCAAGGTAGAAAGGCTTAAATCAATTTTGAATAGTTTTTAACACAAGCAATTCAATTTATGAAAATTGCTAAATGGCATACTGGCATAATTGCAAATAAAGTTGTATATGATTGGCTGTACAAATCATTTTCGCCAAAAAGTGACATTGGCTATTTTTGATCCGAGCCCCAGAAATACACTTTTGCAATGTGAGATCAGAAGTAATGAAAACAAATCAACACGAGACGAAATTTAAAAAACAAATACATATATTTATGGACATATGGTATATACCGGAAATGGACACTTGAGCCTTTTAGTTCTTTGGGACGATAGATACAAGATTTTTCGACGTTTTACCCAATATTATTCCGCGCACGTATATTATCGTGACGTAAACATCGCGTAATATTATTTCCAACGTCGGTATTCTTCGAACGGTAATTTCCCGATAGGTACACTCGATACCTATGTTCTATTCGTGCGACAGTATACGGATAACGGCCGGTTCGCGATAAAAAAAAAAAAAAAACCGAAAAAAGTCGTCACCCTGTATACGCGAGTATCTATACGTTATTATCTGTTTCGCGCGAGTTATGAGGCCACCAAACCGCATACCGTATAATGCCGTCAAATATCGCGATAAGAATTATTGTATGTATACGAAAAATAACAATGTATGCGTTGTCGGGGCCGGCGGACGTGTTATAATAACTGGACCGCTCTCCGGCATAACTGGCGCGGAATTCGCCGGTATATCCGCGATGGTATAGAATGGTAATAATAATAATAATAATAACATCTTTATATAGTACACATTATATTATTATTATACTATTATTCTCGGCGTTATCCGGTAGTACGAGTCTATCCGAGATCGCGAACATAAAGGATACGCGACAACGTTATAATATACTTTATACCTTTATACCTTTTATTATATTCGACCGACCTACATAATCGATATGATAATAACGTCTTTTGGTCTCGGGCAAGAAGGGCTCAAGGCGGTCGAAAGCGACATTCGATTTTTCGCATACATTTCGAATAAAACAAACACGATACGCGCTTCCGGTATAGTGCGATTTCCGATTTTTAAAAAAAACGATTCGTAATACTGCAGTCGACTCTCGCGATAATTCAAACGGTCGGTAATTCGTAACGGTGGCGTGTCAAAGTAGGTTTTTTTGAGCCGGTTGCCTCATGACTAAAATGGGTGGGTAGACGGGTGTTCAAATATGACGAACGCTGATTAAGATTAACTAGTTCAAAGATCAGAGACTCCTTTAGTTTTGTGTATTGTATTACTATAATATACCTATATACATACAGATATTATAGCCTGTATTATATGGTAAATTTAGCTAAACAAGGTTTTTGCTGAAAAACAAATTATTTATAGGACACATAAAAATCCACGTTTAGAGTGGGTAGGTTCTAATTATTTTGTTTTACCGCAATTACAAACAATGTTCAGCGTCCCACTGATTCGAAACTTTCGGTAATTCGAAGTAAACGCTCGTTGCTGTAATAATCTCACAGTAATTTGAATAAAAACAGTATACAAGTATACACTCGGTAATTCATAGTCAAATTTTAAGGAAAACTAGCCGCTAACACGCTACAATCAGAAGTTTCGTCGGTTCAACGTTCAGCAATTCGAAGCGTATTCACTAAATGTATTTATAATCTTTTCGTTAATAATTCATCATACAATTACAATGTATACGTTTAGCTTATTATTACCGATAACTATCGAATTATTCCCGTAGTTACGGTTACATATATATATATAATATGTATAGCCACAATTAGTGATGTCCCATGGGGAAATTCTTCGAAATCACATTTTCCACTTTTCCGCCTTTCCCCAAAATGTAATTATTATGTGACATATCAAATTGTATTATTTTCAAAGACCGTAATAAACGTCTTATCCGTAAAATTATTAGACAATTATCAATTTTTTACTTTTTTACCTATCTTTTATCCTTTTACCTAATTAATTTGTGTTAATTTAAATGTACACAACTCACACAATGATACAACTCACAACTGCTCAAGTACACAAAATGAACATATAGTCGTGTCATTATGAGTTGTCAGAAAGTTAAATAATGTTCATAAAGTATACTTTTCCATTTGAGGAACATTCCCAGGAATATTCCCGGGAAAAGTCCATGATTTTTCACTCTCGGAAAAGTGTCCATCCCCAGCCACAATACGTTTAATACATAATACATTTAAAAAATAATAATAAATAGTTGTAATACCGCTAAATTTAATAAAACATTTTAATAATTATACACATTTTTTTCCGCAATTCAGTAATTCAAAATTTATCATAAGTTTCACCGCAACTTCGAACTATTGAGAGTCGACTGTATTTAGTATACTACTTTTCTGTGGTTTCTAGGAAAAAATAATCAGTTTTTTCATGCGCGAAAGTTTATTTTCATCAACAAAAAAATTAAAAATCGTCTTCTGCTTGAACAAATTCAACGAAAAAAAAAAAATACGATGAAAAGTTTCCTAAAAAATACAGACTGGAAATCGAATGATTCAAATGTGTTTTTAAAATCGAAATTGCGCTTGCTGCAGTGGGTGAATTTCACTCAGTCTTCAAAAACGTAAAGGAAAATTATGGTTGTTAAAAAGTATAAATTTGCGCTTATACAACTTAAAGTCTTGTGTATTTCGCTTGAATGAAACATACGTGCTATCTATAGGTACCATTATTGTTGATTTAATATTATAATAATCTAAAAAGAATCGAAATAGTCTTACCTTTTAAACCGTCAATATTTTTTCGCAGTACGTATTTCTGTATTGCATACATTCTTGAGAAATGATTCGAACAAATCTTCTGCGTAAACTGTTTAAAAGAGTTCTGGAATTCAGTAGTTTGTATTTCGATATGTTAGAACATTATTTAAATGTGCTCGATTTTCACTTCTGTAACAGAAAAAAATGATAATATATAATTATATTATATTTAAATGGTTTAAAACCCATTTAAAATAAGGCACGGCTAATATATTAAAAACGTATAATACAATTTTACCCGATCGATATTTGAGATACTTATATTTTGGTAAATAACATAATACTGTAATATTCATTAAACGAGACGAATACGATTTACCTTAATCGTGAATGAGTTGGCATGTCTTACATAATATTTTCGTTTTTTTTTTCAGGGTAAATCTCGGGTGAAAGAAGTCTTCTCACAGCTGACTACTTACATGATCGCTCAAGGAATGCAGGACATTGAACTTTTCGCATTAGCATTCTTTCTAGGTGAGTCGAGTATAATTTTTTTTATATATACCAAAACGGTGTTATAATATGACGGAGTGTTTATGGGGGATCTATAAACCGAAGAATAAAAAATCAAATAAAATGCATAAAATCAATAATGCTAATTAGCATTATTTTAATGTAATCTAGAACGAGTTAAACATTTTACTGTCGAATTATAAATCAGGTTCAAATCACTTTCGCCGCTATGTCAATTATTATTATTACCTGTATAGAATAGTTGACTAGCTCAATTAAATCGACTTTTCTGACATTGTGTGCAGCGAGAAATACCTGCACAGCGAAGCGTTTATGCAAATATTTTTATACATACCTAAATATTTATAAACGTTGTTCACACTAATGGGTTACTAAACGATTTTAACTGTACCTATATCGTTACATTGTCATTAATATAATTATATAAATAATTTGCACATAATAACAGAAGATAGGTATACTGTGTACATTGACTGTACACTTTTACTACAATATAGCGTTTAAATATACGTACTTTGTATGAATGGAACGAGGGGAAAATATAAAATATAAATAGATAGACTGTTTATTCCGTCAAAGTAGAAGAAGAACAGAACAAAACAACAAGTATTGTAGAAATTAAAATCAAAAAATAAACGACAAAATATTATGAAGAACATATTATGATTGCACTCAACAAAATATATTTATTTTTTAATTTATGGTTTTTTGAGTTACGATTCTGATAATAATATATTTTTATCTCTTAAATTTTTTAATTATTTGTTTTAATAAAATCCCTTGTTCTTACCGACATGCATAGTTAAAATTATATAAAAGATATGACACACATGCTTATACCAGTAACCCGCGGGGTACCGTGTCAAACGAACTTCAAAGATAACATATATTTCTCGTTATGGATGTTGTAGTGATGGTATCAATTTGCTATTAAGTTGTTGAAAATCAAAAATTATATGTGCCAAATCCATATATGTATAGCTACTAATTTCTAACATTTGGAATTTTCGGCTTCCTCTTTTAAATTCTGTGCGGAACGGGGTATGATGTATTGGTTTTGTAATGATGTTTGTTTCTATTTTTCCATCAGAAATCTTGTTCCGATTTTCATGTGTAGCACCTTAATCTGGATGGAAATTTTGTCTGAGTAATACTTTAACGAGGTCATTTTTTGATTTTCCAACGGGTTTTCATAATAAAGGGAAAATTTAGGTATCTTGTGATTTTTCTATTGAAGCAATATTTATAATAGAAAACATAAGCCGTGAAAATAATAAATAATATAATCGTTGCGCTATGGTTTAAAAAAATCGTGTTCAAAGAGGTTATATCTTAATAGGAGCAAAATCGTTCACTTTTCATTTTTTGACTGGAGTAATATTTCTGGTAAAAAACATAGTGTACACAAATTAAAAACAATGAAAAGGGTTAACGGTTTTCCCGATTATTTTGAAAACCCATTGGAAAATTAAAAAATGACATTTTAATACACCAACTAGACAAAATTTCCATTCAGAAAAGATACTATATTCCATACACTGGAACAAGATTTCTTTGAAAAAAGAAAAAAGAAATGTTGTTTACAGACAGAAAAAAAAAGAAGCATACATCATAGTGAAATCAATAGATCCCTCGCTATGTTCCGAAACTAAAACTTTAATAAATTATCTCGCTAACAAACAAGTTATAAAATGTGTTGCTAGCAAATTACATTGTATTAATATAGAGGAATATGCTTAATAATTTGTAGACAATTGTGGAGTATAGAAAATGATTTTGTCTCGCATTTTTATTTTGAAGTAAATTAGATTCAAAACAAAGGAATCGTCGATTTCATTTTTTAATGATTTTTCCGGAAACGTTGCGTACGAATAACGTCTCCTATTTGTAAACGATTTTAAATCTAATTTTTTTGGAGAATATTCTCGTAACCGGAGTGATGATCGGGGAGTCTGGTAATGTTTCATTTATAAAATCGTTATCGATTCGGTTACTATGACTTTGGATTTTTAGATGACTTTATCGTTTTGGTTTTGCGACTAAGACGAGGGTACTCAAAATGCGGTCCGACAGTGTGAGGAATAGAGCCATTTAAATACGCGATGGGATTAGTTAAAGTCAAAATATTATAACGAATCCGAGACGGCAGAACCATCATCGGAGAGTAGCGTAATAATAACATCATGCGATGCTGTGCAAAATCACGATAATATTTTTGAGATCGAACGTAGATTACTAATATTTATAATGTATGTATAATATCGAATTAAAAATCCGGCAGGTATATTAAATGTATATGGATAGGTAACCCCGGCTATAATATATAGTAAAAAACAATTTATATACATATACGATTTTTAATAAAACCGATTTTACACGGTATGCCGCCCGACCCGTATTAAACTATATCGTTACGTGAATATTTCTGTGTACGCCGTCGCACGCGCATAATCGTAGAAAAGATCGATATTATAATTTTTTTTTTTTTTTTATAAATATATACCTACACATAATGTACACATTTTTTTTTTTTACAGCCCGTACGTATAGCGCGCCGCCGTATCGGAATTAGAATAATAATAATCGTTCGTCGCGCCGATAATCTTTGTGTCTGAAAATTTAATTTTATTATTTTTACACGTCGTTTATAATACTATTTAAATCCGTTAGGTGTACGTATATATGTATATAATATCACGAATTTATGCGCTTAACTGTTAAAATTGATATACGACGTATATATTATAGTTATCTGTATGTAATATGTTGGATATATTTGCATAAGAATATTAATAAATTTATATCGTACGTTATAATGTATGCGTACCTATAATATATATATAAATATATTAAAATGTGTTATTCGAAAATATTTATATAAATCGAAACACGGTTTTAATATTATATAGGCGGGTATATACTCGCCTATCGTGTGCGTACCTATGCAATGATAATGTACAATAAATACCGATCCAAACAAATTGAATTATAACTCGCGTATAGGTATACGATAAAAAAAACTATAAATCACGATAAACGGATAATATTATTATTTATTTTTTTTTTTTCGTTAGATCTCGCCCGTATATTATAATATATATCGTATTAATATGACAGAAAATACGACACGATAATAATATTACCTATTATACGACCGGCACTAATACTTGTCGTCGTCGCGGTATCGTTGGTATAAATAATGCGGTAATAATAATGATAATGTTATTATTTAACGTCAAGGCGCGTCGTGTAGACAATTCAAGCGCACGCCCGTCGTTGATGTCCGTAGGAAACTGTTAAAAATATTTTATTATTAGTATTATTATTTATTTTTTCTTTTTTCTTTTTACGATACATTGTTTTTTTGTTTTTTTTTTCAATAATATCATTTCTATCGAGTACCTATCGCTATAATAGTGTTATTATTATTATGTTACAGAGGACGAATATTTTTTCACGGACCCCGAGTGTAAACTGTCAAAGTATTCGCCAAAAAGTTGGAAATCGTCATCGACATTCGTGAGTACCGTACAGCGATAAATATCATAATATTAATCTTTGATATTTTATAATTTATAATAAATTAGTTATAAACCTATCAATAAGATTATAAAAAATTAGATAACACTCTTTGATAATAATTGAATACTGATAACAGTGATAACGAAAGACGTATGCAACGTGTACGCATATACTCCAACAAATACTTCGAGAGAAAAGGAGTGTGACGTGCACGCATATGACTGACTTATCGGATGCTATGTTATCTATTTCTTCTCTGTAAGCACACTAACTCATATACAGAGTGCACTAAATAACATTTCGATCAGTCCGAACGCATTAATTTTCAAAAATTCGAAAATATTCGTTAATTGAATAGAAGAAACACGAAAGTCTCTACGAAAAAGTTAAAAATAAACAACGATATATTCATAAACAGATGTACAGGTGCAGACTATCTAATATGGAATGTTGCCACAAACAATGAAGTTTTGCAACTCTCTGTTTAACCGCTTGTGTCAATAGATAGGGCAATAGGTGACAGTGTTCTGATAGGCAGCTGGTAATCGATAAATGATTTTGCAGTAGGATGCAACCAGTTTTCGTTTCTATGTACTTCTATTCTCTTGGCGAACCGAGTGTAGACCTTAATTCATTTGTGATGGCACGAGGTGAAATGCTGACTAAACGTGGTTGTTATTAGTGATGTTATCACTGATGACATCACAGATGAATTAAGAAACTTAAGGGCTGGAAGAGTATTTACAATATTTTAACTTGTATCTCAATTATCAAAGAATAATATAAAACCACTTATAATCTCATTGAAAATTCCGACTATGAGTTTCCAGCAATATCTCTAACGCGACATATTATTTTGACTTCAATACGTGGTACCAACAACGATTTAATCAATTGAAGAGCTGCAGAGAAATTTGATCATATTCAAAACTCCCAACATTTTTACACTGATCACTTTTATCTTCGTTTTCTTTAAGATTATATTTTTTCTATGCCGTTGTAAATATTTTTAAAACTACTGTAGCAAGGACCACGATTGTGCAGCAGCTCAATTCAATCATTTATAAGTCTACGACGATTACTTCTTACGTAGTAAAACTTAGTCGTTAACAGGAATTTCTCAATTTTCAAACGAATGTTCTGAATATACGTTAATACAAAACATTTTTTTAAGATAGGAACGTAAAATGTATAAAATAAATTAATTTATATCAGATGTACTCAACGATATATAATTACCAACGAAAAACGATTCCAAGTGAAGTTAGGTTAATTATGTTTTGAAATGCCGCAGTCACTACGGTTTTCAATAAAATTTGAACTTTTAACGCTTATAATATAATTACTACGTTACGCTCAATTTTTTTTTTATCGTATAAATATAGCCATATAAATAGCCCGAAAATCGCCAGAATGTTTGACCGTGTCTAGAAAATGCTCATACGAGTGTTCGGTGACAAAAATAACAAAATCGAAAATAATTTGGACACCGCATTTTCGCGTACAATTTCGCGGATATTTTCGAATGTTAAGAGGACGCGTGCACTGTATCTATTTTACATACGTTTGACTATTGGCAAATACGGGTCCGGCAGAAACAACTCTATCCCGTTAGTTTTAATAGTAGAGCGAATTGACTTATCATCAAATGTAAAGATAAGAACATTATTTGTGCGCTGTTTTTTTTCCATATTTTAACTGTCAAGCGAGATATTAAATTGTGATATTTCACGTACTCATATTGCGACAGTTTCTTAAAACGTCGAACAAATCAGCTCCAACGTTTCGTTTTAATATCAAAACTAATGGCGCAATGTTGTCCCCGCAAAAACGAAAATTCGTTACGTCGCGGTACGTTTGTAAGACGGAGACGACGCACGCAGATATTAAAGGGCTCCTACCGCTCCCGACAAATAGCACCGATTAAGCCGTACTCGGACTGGTTTTCTAGGGTCATTCAACCCGGCCCTTAGCCCATTTTTAAAGAACTAGGGCCTAGGAAAAAAAAAAATCCATTGAAAACCGGGCCTGACCTGAAGAAAAAAAAGTAAGGTACGATTAGACGAAATTCGTTACCGAAATACGTGCGCCCGCGACGTTATAATAACGGTATCGGAACGAGATTCCTGCGGTTACGGAAAAGTCGTTTACATCGGAAAGACGAAAAACACACACATCACATGTACGCGAGTAATAAAACCGACCGTACATTCCTCCGTATCGCTTCGCTCAGAATCTAAATGGTGGTGTTGGGGGGGGAGGGTAGGGGTGGGGAAGAAGAAGCGGTGTTTCGTTTCGTTTTTTTTTTTTTAAATTTAATTTTTATCGGTCGGTCCTCGGGTCGACGCGCGCGTACCTATATACATATATACATACACACACACATGCACGTATAATACGTATACACGGAATCTCGTAATTATATACGTGTACGCGCGCCGGCCGTCGGGGAAATTATATTTTATTATGCAACCGCGTCTCTCGATTTATCCCGGACGACATAAATACGGGCGCGCGCAATAATTGGTTTTTAAGTTGTCAAAATGATATGTTGTTTTGATACACGACAACAACAAATACGTGTATACGTACGTACGTATTTTACGCGCACCCATACCCGTACGTGGATATAAAATATAATACCTATATCAATTTTTTTTTTTTTTTTTTGTTTTTTTTTTTCCTTTCTGTCCCGACGCAAGGTCGACCCGTATAGATTATCGCGCGCGCTCCTCCGAGCTACAGGAGTAGAGCGGCGGCCGATACCATTGCCGCAAGAAAGTATTATTACGCAACGCTCCCCTCCCTCAACCCCTCCCCCTCCCATAACGCTCCTTTCACCGGTACGCGTACGAAACGAGAACGGGTTTAAATCCCTTCTTCGTTTGTTCCTCGTCCGTTATTATAACTCGTGTATCGTACCTGCACGCATAATATAATAAATACGTCGTATACGTATACACTTTTTATCGTTATCATTATTATTATTATTATTTATAATATATATATATATATGTATATATGTATACGCGCGCTTCGATTTCGATGTGATATTATTACAGCGAGTGTATTTTAATTTAATGTTGTGTTGTTTTTTTTTTTTTTTCTCACGCCTCAGGGTCTCGATCAAAACGGCCAACCTCTGCTTCAGTTGCATTTACGCGTCAAGTTTTACGTCGACACCACTAAATCTTTACGGTAATTATACACAAAACTTTATAATACATAATAGTTCTCTCTCTCTATGCGTATATATATGTATATGTACAATCGTTTGTATTTTTTTTTTTTTTATTATTCATAGTTCGATTTAAGATCGTGCGCGCTTGTTGGTTTTTTTCCGCCCGACGGGAGAAATACAGAAAAAAAAAAAAAAAAACCGTACGCTCGAATAAAATACCTATGTTATTAAACGATAGACGCGTTATACGACACACGAGCCGTTTAAATAGCCGCGCATTACGTTTTACTCGCCGCTGTCGGGTAACGCGCGCAGGCTCGTAGTCGAAAAAATGTCCATTAGGTGGGTCAATATTTCGAGAGGGCCTCCCCCTCAAATGTGCTATGATTATAGCACATTACGACTACAAATATCACGACCTGATAATAATAACTTTGTGTCTTTTATTTAAATGTTTGTAAATTTATTATTCGATTATTGAGCCATCTACCGGATAACGTATACGCTGCATAATAAAATACTGCTGCCGGTACGAGCTGGTAACAGGTACTACAAGTAGTAATCACTATGCTGCCGTTAATCGTTTTGTATCAATTTATGCAAGTCGGGTATAGGGTGATGTTTGGCGGTGTAAATTAAACACGCATTATGATAATGGGCCACGCTGAATACATTGGGAGGGCCGACCCATGACCGGACACATTTCGGGACAGGCCAGGCGCGCCCGGGCCTCCGCGTGGCTACGCGCGTACAAGAAAATGCATTTTCGTTCGCGCAAGTAGTCGGTCGGTCGTACTCGCGTTTGTCATTTATTCGCACGGACTCGCGTATCGAAAAATTGCGTCGGAAATCAAACGCGCCCGATAGAAAAATTGCCGGATACACCACGCCGGGTGTACCAGCCGACGGTAAATTATGCGCGGAAATAATTGCCGTAGAAAATTTATTTGCGCGCTGTCGTCGTGTCGGCGCGGCCCCGTCGAGCGTAAGAAATTCTTCCTTACGGCGCATCGAAGCGAACGGGAAAACGCATCCGCAATAATAATAATAATAATAACGTCGCAATATTGTAAAAACGCGACGAGTGCGGTCGGTCGACGGACGGCAGGCCGTTTAACTGGAATACGAGAAAAAAAAAAAGAAAAAAGAAAAGACGGACTTTCATCGCCCGATGGAGACAGACCACTGCAGTTGTAGGTGAGAAGTCGGGAAGGTATATACAGGGCGATTCACTTAAGAGCGCGCACCAATTTTATTTTATTTTTTTTTCGGTTAAATTTCGCATGTATTAAAATTCTGATTTTCGGTTTTTAATTAAAGCCGGCATTTTCGAATACTTAAGAGTTTTCACCGCAACATTAAATGAGTATCCCTGTGACGACGCCGACTCTGGTTTTTCATTACGAGAACTTATATATTGTAAACATTCCGTCATAAATAGACGGAGTGTTATTTTAAATAAATGTTTGTGTTAAAATGTTCGGTTTACGTAAACCCGCTAACGATATACTCCGACTTTAAGTTTAGGTTGGGGGAGAGTAGCCGAGTGTATCATTTGTGCGGCGGCCCGGCACTTGGCGTTTTATTAGTGAATCATTCTGTATAATATGTTACACTATTTAGGACGTAGGTGAAATTGTCGAATTCATAAAATGGAAAATGCCCATTTTATAAAACGGCTGTAAAACGTTTTTTCTTTCAGTTTTGTTCAATTATTAAAAACAAAACTACTCAGAAAATCAAAAAAAAAAAACTTTCTTCGTGAGCACACTAGCTTCAAAATTTAAAAAAAAAAAAAAGGTTTCTTGGGACAATATATCCGGTATATAACGTAGTTTGTAAAAATTAAAAACAATGAAATCGTACTCCATAAATTTGTTCGTTTTTATTTTCTGTCTTTTTCGGTTTTTTCCTGTTTTTCCTGTATAAAAACCGCTTAGAAAATCAAAAAACAATGACTTCTTTAATGCGCCAACCAGACGAAGTTTTCTTCAGAAAAGGTGCTACACTTGATACGTCGTTTTCTATTAGAAAAATTCCTCACGGGTACAAGAGAAAAAAAAATGCTCTGAAAGTAAAAATAATAATTACAAATCGGTCGCGGACAAGACGGTTATAAAAAATATTGTACGTTTACAATACGATTAAGCCCGTAAATAAAATAAAAGATTTCGAACCGTTCAAATAATCGTTGTATTATATTATTATCGTTCGGACTGTTTGGCCAAAACTTACCGGAATTTACTTTTCGTCATGTCAACGTTGTAAATAACAAAAAGGGCCCGAGAAGGAGTTTTTGATAATAACGTTATTGTTAACGCGGGTTTCGTTGTTTTTAAGAGTCCAACATTATCTTCTTCTTCTCTCCCGCCTTCTTTCCGACTATTCGAGATTGGCCACCCTCGTTCTAAACTTCCAAATGACTTGATCTCCCACGACGCATATACCGACCGTCCTCATATTACTCTAAATTACATCCAACCGCCTCAGTCTATCTCTCCGCCTATTTCGTAATACGTTTATTTTCATTACAACACTTACTGTTTCAGATTTCTCTCACCCCGCGACACGCTCGAACCATCTCAGTATATTTTTTTTTCATTTTGTTCATTATAGAACACACGTGTCTAAGCTATCTCTTATATATACACTCATCCCTTCCCTAAAACAATATCTAACTCAATATTTTGATTATTTTTCAATATCTCAATAATTTTTCTTGCCTTATGCGTGCTGCAAACTCGGACCCTTCGTTTAACCTCTAACGATTTACTCGTTTTCTTGAATCGCTTTCATCTTACTTGTATTATTGAAAAATAAAAATAAAATAGTTTGGCATTATACACCCATGAAGTTGCCCGGGGGGGGAGGGGCACTTCCTCCGATTGGTTTCAAATCGGTGTCATATTTTTGCAACAAATTCGCAACTTTTTGCAACCTTTCGAAAAAAATATGCAACCTCATACTTTCGCCGGAATCAATTGTTTTCGTTGGTGGGACCACCCAGCTACATACATTATACATTTATAATTTTAAATTATATTTTAACTCGCTAAATCTTTTGTTTACATGCAGATCAATGCAAATTTGTTCATTTTCAAAACAATTGTACATTATTATTTGTTTATGTTTACACTCTACAACATTATTGAATTTTTTGAACCAATTTTTTTAGGTTTATTATTATAATATGCATCATTATTGTTCCAGAAATCGTATATTGATTTTTTTACTTTTTTGTTCTACATTAACAGCGATGACATCACCCGACAACATTTTTACCTTCAACTGCGCAAGAACATCGCGGACAGGGGCGGCACCACGGAAGACGGCGACCAGAACGTACTGCCGTTGGTGGCGCTCGGCCTGCAGGCGGACCTCGGCGACCACACGGCCGACACGGACATCTCGTCCGAACTGCTCGAACAGTACCTCCCGTCAAAGGTAAACATTTCAATAGCACGACCGCGGGGCTATCATATTATTATAATGTCTTGTCACCTGAAAATAGAAACGTTTTATACACACATATTGATTTTTCGGTAAAAATGTCTCGGGGAGAGAACTTATTCGTTCTCGGGTGATTGAATAATATTATGGCCATGGGCGCCCGTGGGTTTCTCAGGTTGGGACATAATAAAATCAATAAACATCAAATAGTACTTAAAATAAAATTATATTTGAAATTTTGAAGCTCGGGAATGACGGATGCCCTTTGTGTTGCCCTCTCTACCCCTCCGGGCTCCTATGATTATGGTGTTTTCGGTAAAACGTAATATTATTGTCATAACGCAAATCGACTTCTTCCAACAGGTGTACAAAAACAACGAGCACAGGGTGAAACAGACGCTGTGCACTTTGCACAAGAGCCACAAAGGGCTATCGAAGAGTCGCGCCCAGACGATGTTCGTCCAGGAAGCCGGTCTGGTGCACAAGTCGCACCTGTACCGGTTGAGGTTGAACAAGTCGCAGCCGAAACAGACGCAAGGGAGCGCGTTTTCCATATGCAACAGCGTGTGGCTGGCCATATGTACCAACGGCATTCAATTGTTTCACGTGAGTCGGAGAGAATTTTATTTCGCGACCGTATAATATTCTCGAGTCTTTGAATTTTAGATTCTGAGTGGAGCGAGGAATGTATGGGTTTTACAATGACGTTTATTTTTTTATTTTTTTTCTGTGGACAACTTTTCTACCGGGAATTTTCCTCAGATTTACAATTATAGCTCTTTTTTTTTCAAAGGAAATTTGACTTGAGAGGTACTTAATGGAGGTCATTTTTTGATTTTCTCAAAAGTTTTATCAATAAATGAGAAAAACACAGGGAAAACTGAGAAAACGGGAAAATAGGTACAATATTAAACAAATATTATTAAAGTAAATTTTTTAACGCATGTTCAATTATTTTACCGTAATACAATATATTATATTGTTCACAAAGCAACATTATCAACCGAACTCCACTCAGAATCGTTTTTTCGTTAGCAACAATTAATAGTCGTGTACATTATAGATATACAGATACACAGATATACATTAAATTTCCGTCTATATCCTACCTTCCCGACTTCCCTGCACCTACACTTATAGTGGCTGCACCCGTCCTCATTATCCTAGGAAAGCTTTTTTTTTTTCATTTTACTTTATATTATATAATTTTGAGAGAAATGCACGTAGGTAAAGGCGCGCGTGTATACTATACCGCCGCGTTTTCTTAATACGGTATGTGATTTCCAAAACGTTGTATCCCTCGAAATTTTCAAAATATATAAAGAACGGATAATATTTCGTTCTTTAAATTTCATTTTAACGTTGGTTTTTTTTTTTTTTTTTTATAATAACAGGAGAGTCTTTCGCAAGCGCTCAGCTGTTTGTTTTTGTGGAACAACATCGTCAAGTTATGTTTCGACGTGAGTATACTAATATTAATAATATAGACACCGGACGAATATTGTAAAAAAATAATATTATGCACCGTAAAACACTTAGCAACATTATCCTAATAATTGAATGTGTACTATTCTGGTCGCAGCGAAAAAAATTCGAACTGAGGCCGTCGAACGCGGACAGACTGGTGTACTACACAAACTCGGACGAGAAGAGCAAACGGCTTTTGGCGCTATGTCGGGACACACACCAGTTCTGCATGATGGTACACCCGAGACTTTTAGACACGCTGTTGAACAATAACACGACGGGTGAGTGTGATGTAGAGTGTAGACCATTACTAAATAAGAAGACAATATGGACTGCGGATCACGAATGAGATCGAAAACCGATAAGAAATTGTCGCCACTCGTTTACACTGTGTGACAATGAAATTCTTTACCGGAGAATATATAAATCCGTATTATACTAACTATAACAGCTATATTATAATACGGTGTTAAAAATCAACATTAAATGGATCTTCACGGGCCCGATACTCTGTTCTAGCTTATTCTGTAATATTCGATAAGTATTTCGCTATAGGCACCGACACGGACCACCGGCCGCGGCAACAATTTCTGATCCTGTCTCTACCGTTCGCCTACCGCGTTATGTCCAGTCAATATTTTCTTAGTCCGTGCTAAATAAACAGGCAATTTAACGAAATTGTTTTGAAGTGTGCCCTAGACTTGGGGATATCGACGATGAAAAAAACTACGGAAAAAGAAATGATTCGATTATAATCGGTTTGTTTTTATCACGGTTATTGCACAAAAACCGGATTGAGATGGACTAAAATAATATGGACCGGGCACGAAAAGTTAGTTGGTGGGAGGAGGGTGATCATGGCGGGCGGGTGATGGTTAACCCGCCGTTCACTCTAGTACCGGAGTACATGCCCGGTGATTGGGAAAACACGTATTTTTGTTGATATACCTGTTTATTTAGTCATATACAGACTACAAGTTTCTTTTTTTATTTCATCTGGCTTGTACTATTCTACACAAATGTTTGCCGTTCATATCGACTTCCCACTACTTCTCTCGATCCTGAATTATGTATTTATGTCTCTCCAGTTGTTTACTCCGATTCTTTCCGAATCATTATCGACCGCATGCATCCGACCTTTTTCTTGGCAACCCTCGCGGCCTCTTGCCCGTCGGTCTCCTGTTTTGACTGTGTTATTATCGTGTCCTTACGAAGTTCTTTACTCGGGCCATATCCCTCGTCTCCTCCGAAAGTCCTTTGTACTAGAACTCTTTCCTCCACACACCAGTATTATCATCTAATTTTTGCTCAAATATCAAATTGTATTTTCAAAATTATAAAGTCTCTGATCTGTCGCGCTCGAAATCGTCAACGAGTCACATCCACGAGACGAGTGCGTACTAACTACGAGTTTACGGGATTAAAAAAAAAAAATAATAATAATAAAAATTTACGATAGTTTCGATTCATTACATTGGAATAAAGTTATTTCATAGTGTATTTGTTTGCAGAAAAAAACGAGTACGAAGGGGTGAAATGGACCGACGAGAAGAAATCGAAATCGGCGAACGACAGCGACACCAACGACGAGAAAAAATGCGAGAACGGCGGCGGTTGTTCCGATTCCAGTATTTCGACGACCGAACCAACTGTAACCACCGAACCCGAGGACAAGGCACGTGTAGTAATATATTTAATTTCTCCCGCGGCTTTATCCGCTGATGGTATTACGGCACGCCGACAATAAAAATAAATACGACCGTTCAAATATCACAGCGAAACCACCGGCGCGACAATAACGTTATCGTCGAAATTCTTCTTCTATCGTGTGGTCACGGCTTACACATCAGATCGCTTTACCATTCCGATACGCGACCGTTTCGTTTCTTCGCCTCGTGATACGACCCATTAAGTCGTTCCGGTCTTCAATGTGGAGCCTTTCGGCACCGCAGAATATGGTCGTCCGTCTGTATCTCTCTCCTGTACGTAATAATTGATCTTTTTGTACACCCCATCTCCATAGGTCGCCGTTTGTCGTCTTAGCAACGTGTACTCTTCGTCGGTTTAAAATTCTCCACAGTACACGTGGGAGGTATTTATACAGTGGAGAAGCTTTTTTCTTTTCTAAGGGACTCCGTGGACGGCAGTCAAAATTGAAACATTTAAACGTAGATTGTGGAGAGGCTTTAGGGGGCTACGGATAAGCGCCGCGGCACATGTCGTTAAACTTGCGTAACGAATTTTTTTTTATTGTTATGCGCAGGTGCAGAACGGCAGCATATCGTCCAGCGTGGAGTTGGGATACAGTCACACGGCGCAAAATTCGACCGTGTCCGAGCTGGACTATTCGGTGCAGTCGGCGCAGGACAGCAGCGAAGCGTACCTCATGTACAGACACCCAAGAGCCAGGGCGGCATACGTGGAAAACAGCAACCAGTCGGCGCACACCAGCAGCGGCGTGTACACGTGCCCCAGTTACAGTTCGGCGTCCAAGGACACGGCATCCGCATCGTACACGACGGAGAACTGCAGCAGCGTGGGCTGTAACGACAGCAACGGGGATGGCGGTTACAAGGCGACCGTGGCCAGCGTGGCCGCAGCAGCGGCCCAGTCGACCGCCATGTCGTCGCCCTTGCCGCCGGACGCCGACTCAGCGTACAGCCCGTCGCTGCCGCCAGACAACGACGACGGTGGCCGCGGCGGCAACGCCCAACAGCATTCGGACGCCGCTGTGGACGACTGCGACGGCGTCTGTGGCGGCGACGACGAGCTGTACGACCTGTCGGCCGCGGCCACTAGCGACAGTTCGTATTGCGTGGGCGGCGGCGCCACGACCGCTTCCGACATCGCGCCGTCCGCGTCTTTGAACGGATGCGAATCGGACGGTTACGCGGACGCCGGGGGCGCGGGCCCGGGCGGCCGGAGCCGCAGCGGATCGGTGGTCAGCAACTCTGGCAGTTTTCGCGGTGACGGCAGTGACCCTTCCGAGGGCGGCCGCGGCGCCCTACTGTCGGCCGCCGAGTTGTCCGATTTGATCGTCGGCCGCAAATCTCTCCATCAGACGCCCCGCAAGGGTTTCTATCCGTCCCGGCCGACCACCAGCTCGACGCTCGACTCGGATTCGGATTACGTCACGCTACCACCGCCCATGAACTTTGTCACCGGCGCCCCGTCGCTGTCTAACCTGTCGCTGGCCAACTTCGACTGCGGTTCCGGAACCGGTCCTCCTGCCGCCGCGCTCCGTTGGGACGTTCACCGGTCGTTCGACGTGCTGTCCAACGTGGTGAAGCTGTGCGGCGGCCACCACCACCACCCTCACCAGTGCGTGGTGAACAGCAACAACTACTTAGACGTGCACAAAAGCGGCACCGCGTTCTATCATCACATCTATCCGGCGGCCTTGCCGCCTATCGTGCACGCCCGGCCGCCGCCGCCTCCGCCGCCGCCGCCCCGGCCGAAGCGGTGTGACCTTCAACTGGAGCAATACAAACAGCAGCTCAGGTCGGACGTTGACTTCGTCGTGTATCCGCTCCAAGACCCGGCGGTCAGCCGCCAAGAATACGTGGACGCCAAGCTGACCCGAAGCCGCCTGCACCAGCAGCAGTACCACAGGTACTTCGGCCGGGACCCGCCGTCGTACCCGACCAACGCCCACCTAACCAACGCGCACCTGTACAGGAGCACTCCGAACGTGGCGGCGGCAGTTTCACCACCGCCGTCCTCGTCCGCGTCGTCGTCGTCTCTATCCCACCAGCAATACCAACAGCACCACCGCCATCACCACCACCACCATCACCAGCAGCACCGTCACCAGCAGCACCACCAGCAGCAGCAGCAGCAGCAGCAGCAGCAGCAACACCAGCAACAACTACAACAACCGCCGCAGCTCCAACACCATCAACTATCGCCGCCGCCATTGCCGCCGATGCCGCCACGCTTGAAATACTCGTCCAATCAAAATCTATTCCCGGGCACCGTAGTCGCCGCCGCCGAGTACGCGAGACAGAAGTATCATCACCAGCTGCATCACCCGATGCATCCCGTTTCGCCGCCCATGAGAACGTACTCGCACGACGATCTATTGTCCGCTACAGACGCGCCCGACGTGCCGCCCAAAATGATGCATCACATTCGCCGCCGGCCGCCGCCGCCCCCGCCGCCGTTGAGCGCGCTGAAGCCCCCGGTCATAGTCCGTCCGAAGCGGACTTCGGGCGTGGACGCCTCGACGACGACCTCATCGACGCCCGCCGCCGCCGCCGCCGTGCTGGACATCGCGTCCCTGCGAGAACAAAGCCGCAACCTCGACTTGCCGTTAATATCGGCACTGTGCAACGACCAGACACTGCTCAAACAGACCAACGCGATGGTCACCAAACAGGAGAACAAAGCCACGCAAACGGTGGCCACGGCCGCCGTGCCTCCGTCCCCTCTGGCGCCGCCGTCCGCGGAACACCAGCCGCCCGCCACCGGGTCGGCCAACCAGTCGAATTGCTCCATGTGCACCAACGGCACCGCGTCGTATTCGTCGCCTCCGCCGCCGAGTTTCCTGTCCGCGGCCGCGCCGACGTCCGTCGCCACTGCCACTACCGCCGCCGTCAAGACGGCCAAATCAAAAGCCAACCACGTCAAAACTAACGCAAAGAATAATTGATAATTATTATTAATTAGGTAGTAATTATAGTATAGTAAGTCATATTTTCTCTCTCTCTCTCTCTCTTCAATTATACATAATATATTGTACTCGTATCGATGGCTTAAACGCTAAATATAATAATATGTTCGCTCAATCAAAAAAAAAAATTCAAGTGTTCAAAATTAATCGATCCGCGTTTAGTTGTTTCGCAATAGCGTTTGACGAGCCGATCGTAACGCGGACGAATTGATATGCGCGTTGAATACTCGACGTGCATGCCTACCCCCTTCACGCGTTTACGCCGAGACGCAATAACAACGCGGGGCCCGTTATGTTTCCGCTCGAAAACGATTTGCGAACGATAACACGCGTATCGGAGTTTTCGCGTAAAGTCAAAACTTTGAAACAAACAAACAAACCCACCGGGATTCGCGAAACGCCTCTGCCGGACGGTTTTGGAATTCGCGACGTATCATATTTGGCCTTCGAGCCGTCGATATGCGTAATATTACGCGAGAAAGGCGTCGCAGTGTAGATCGTTTTAAAAAAAAAAAAAGAAAAGAAGCGATTTAACAACAACAGAAAAAAAAAAAAAAACAAACAAACTTTCCCGAGTTTAACGCTGGTGATTTACGCCGTGTTTATGTGTATCATAATAACATGCGAGATCGATTGGAGGGCTGGAAGAGGGACCGACCCAGTGGCGGCGTGAACCTATTAATTTCAATGACGCGGTAAAATTTTTCAACACCCATCCGTCCACCCTTTTTTATATATAAACACAAAATATATATGAAAAAAAAAAAAAAAACTATAACCAAATCAGAAGTCAAAACTGTTTTTTGATTTTTAAATTTAATCTAAAAAATTAAGTCCACTCAACTGTGAACATCAACACCCGCCCGCCTTTTTTTTTTTTTTTTTTTTCTCTTTTTGTTTTTTTTACTCGGACGCCCCCAAAACGCTCGCGGTAATTATCTATTATACTGCAGCATTGTTACCTTTACGATAATTATTAGATGTTATTATCGGTGTTTCCGAATTGCGTGCGGAAATTAATAATGCATAGGTGGGGTCGCGCGCGCGGTCTTTTTTTTTTTCCCCTCGATTTCAAATTATCCGCGCGAAACACTTTTCTCCTAAGAACACCCTTATGTTTTGATTTTACGCGATTCGGAATTGATGATCAAATCTTCGCTCGGTCCAAATGATTGAATTCGCTAAGTAAATAACCTTTGCGCATTCTCTGTGCGCGCGCTCATCAACGCTCATCTCTCAGCATCTCTCACATTAACAATTTATATCCGTCAACGTTGCGTAAAATTGTTTTTGTTTTTTGTTTTTTTTTTTTCATTTAATTCAACTATATCGACCGATCATCAAAAGTTACGAATCGTTTAACCTGTGTACGGTTTACTCGTTTATAGATTATAATCATAACTCATCGCACGCGCAGCTCGGTTGTCGACCAACATAGTTTTTTTTTTTCTTTTTTTTTTTTTCTGGCACGCAATTCGGACGCAACTATTATTATTATTATATTACTATGTACGCCACGGTTCGTTCTTTTCTATATCGACTGGGTACGTTTTGCCGATTTCGGCAAAGTGACGTGGAAAAAAAAATAAAAAAAAACGAATCGTCCGTACGCGAAGCTCAGAATATCCCCGGAAATATCCAGCGAAATTCGAAAAGACAATTTGTTCGTATGGTTTTTCGAGTTTCTTGACGTCGCCGATAATATTCTAGAGGGCGTCGTCGCGCCGAGGATTTTCGAGGGTTTCCGGAGTATAGTTTTTTCGTTCCCCCCCCCCTCCTCACCCCCTCAATCCAAAGTATATTACTGTCGAACGAAACGAGACGAAATTCGATTTTCGAACGAAAGACCGGCGATTGAAGTCCGCGGCCGCTCTATAGATTCCGCGCGTCACAGAACGCCGCGGATTCCCGAAGGACCCGGCGATTTCGCCACGGTCCGTCCGTTCGACTCGAAATCAGAACGTTGGAATACGCTTTGCACTTTATGTCATTGCGACATTATTATTTACGGTATAGGTTACACACAACGGTGTATTTTAGTTTCTACGGTTTTATGGCTAAGCGTCGAAGTTTTTATTTTTTTTTTCTCTCTCTCTCTCTTTCTATTATTATTAATATTTTTTTTTTTTTTATTATTATTATTATTTTTCCCCGCGGTCCTGCGCCGCCGATAATGTTGTTCGGTGTCCGATCGTTCGAACGAACGCGCGCGCGTCCGTCTCACCCCGGACGCGTGTATAACGGAGACGGCCGGGAACCTCCGCGCTGTTCCGCGCGCGTACCGGACGCATCGCGACAACGACGGTAACGCCCGCGTCGGCACGTCGTCACGACCGACCGCGGCATTCGGGACGAGGCCGGGACCCGCCGCGACAGTGCGGGACAGCGCGACGCCCGCCGACCGCCGTCGGTTATCGCGGTTACACGATACACGGCGTCATTTTTGAAACGGAAAAACCGCGTTCCGAGGCATTCTACGCCTGTACCCGTTTTCGCGCATGTCGACAATCGCGGGTTTTCAATTTCCACCGGACCGGCGTCCGCTGTTCCGCGACGGGATTCGCGCACGCCGCTGTGCCCGCCGCGCCCGTGTCTTCGGACGGGCGTGTTACGAGATTTCGGGCGAACGCATACGATTCGATTTCGGCGGCCGCCTGCATCGTCGTGCCGTTCTGTTGTCGGCCCCCCCTCCCCGGAAACGATTGCAACTTCGACGGGTCGTGTCGCGCGAAACGCGGTGGGCGGCCGACTCCGCGCCGCCATTTCGTTTCGTTCTGCTACGAAATCGCCCACGCGAGTGTCCGTGTCGTTCGTCACCGGCAACGGGGGTGGGGAGAACGAGAATCGAATGTTTTTTAACCGTAAAATTTTTCTTTTTTCCACGACTATGACAGACCGGTTAATAATAATGTACGGGGCGACGACGACGACGACAGTAAGTTGTCGAACGGCGCGTGAATTCGAATTCCGGTTGTTCTTTATTTTTATTTTTTTTTTCCGTAATTTTCAATAACAAAAACCACTACACTCACCACTTCCCGTTCGGTCGGCGATCCGGTTTTTTACTTCGTAAACCGCGTTTTGCAATATGTCATCGTCACCGATAACGTTACGATTTCATCGCGCGCGTATCAACGTTATCAACGAGGCCGGTAGACTGTTTTTTTTTTTTTTTTTTTTTAACCGCCATAACGTTAGGAATTATCGCGACGGATTTACAAAATACACATACGTCCACCTTGCATTTCAGTTCGCGTGTTTATTAGTATTTTAAGGTATTTTAAGTGTCGGATTTTTTTTTTTTTCATTTTTTCATCAAACTTTTAGACTTTGTATTGTGCCAAATAACAATATTGGTTCGTAGTATATATTATATTGTTCGGTTTTTTTTTTTTTTTTTTTTTTTTATGTAATTTTTATTTATGTTTAAACGTACTTTTAATGATAATATACAGCAAGAATTAAATATAATATTTTTTCTACAGCCTGAATTGCCGAATTTTCAAACACCGAGCATAAAACTTTATTAATTATATAATTTTTTTTTTTTTTATATCCACATTATATTTTGTGCCTAGTTGTGTTAATTAGTTACCTGGAAAGTGCCTCATCATATTTTTAACAATTTGATATTATGTTTTTATTATATATTAATCGCATCAAAATACTTAAGGAGAATATTTGATAATTATTATATATTATATTATTTTGTATTATCGTTGACGCGTTATTTTAAATTTTTAGATGTATAAAAGAAATGAGTACAAAAAATTGCACAGTATTATTTTGTTTTTTGTAGGTTTTTTTTTTTTTTTTTTAATACATATATAAATTATATATATATATAATGTTTAGTCCTACATGAAAATTGTGTATAACTTAACATATATTTCCAATGTGAATAAATATTATCAACTGTAAAACTATTTATAGCGTATATTTTATTGTATGTTCGTATAGTGCTCGTAATTAAATCATTCTACATTCATGAAATTAAAATCCAGTAATATTCGTTAGAGAAAAAAAAAAAAAAAAAAAAAATTATATCAAAGAAATTTTCTTTCCTCTCCTATGAATTTGATTCAATCATCGTAATTATTTCTAGAAACATTCAATACAAAATTGATACACGATCGGTATTTGTCATTTAATAGGATTTTGAGTGACATTACGACAAAAACCCAGAATAATGGTATAGTATAGTGTATACTCGCTCTTGTATTTCCAAGATATTTGCCACAGTAACGGTTGTAGCGCTTAAATAATTCAAATACTTGTTGGGTTTTTATTAGTTGGCGGTATCCGTTCATTTTATTGATTTGTGTATATTCAAAATGAGGTGCGCGAACAACACTATGAAACCAGAGAAACTGACGCATTTAAATACAATAAAATGCGAGTGTTGGTACTTGCAATTTGGTAAACTAATTTTTCGGTTATAGATTTCTTGTAATTATAACAATCCACTATCATAGTTTTGGGGTCGAATTTCTATTACACAATGCCAGGGTGACAAAGCTGTGCACTCACATCATTATAACTGTAGTTAAATGATATTTTGATAAACCATTTAGGCCAGTTTTCACCGAGAACGTTGATTTTTAAACAGTTTTTAAGATAATCAAACAATCGTAGTCCAAAACGTGTTGTTTTTATATTTATTTGATATTTTGCGTCCTTAATACATTATTTACATAACTTTTTAATGTATATTTAGCTATTTTTTTAGTGCACATTCGCGTATTTATTAATTTGCCAAAATTAGATATTAATAGGTTTAAAACATGTAAAAAACAACACATATAAATAATAATAGAATTTTGTTTATTCATTATTTTAGATATTCTTAATTATTTCTCATTGTACATATGTTTGAAAAAAAAATCGATAGGTTGCTAAAGCACCTGATGAATGAAATTTTTTTTCTAGATATTTTAATAAGTCTTTAGCAAATTATATTTTAACATCTAATAGTTTGCAAATTTTTGAATTCCCAACAGTCATTTTAAATAAATCAATTTATAAAATAACACTGAAGAGTTTATCAGTGAGTTTTAAACTATAGATATAATATTAATATAATTATTATAAGTATAATATTAATATTAATATTATATATGTTTGCAGTCATACATATATAAAATTTCTAATAAGGAGTCAGGCAACATATTGTATCCTTTCAATTATGCTTTGCCAACTTTGAATACACTGTACACAAACATTATAATTAAGAAAAAAAATATCCAAATACAATGAATGCTTTAGTATATTATTATAATAGAATAGTTAAAAAAAAAAAAAAAAAAAAAAATGAATAATTAAGTATAAATTATTCATATATTTTAAGTGGATGAAAATAAAAATTGTAATTCTCAGTTAAAACATTAGAATGTATAATTAAGCTAATGTTCCCATAGGATCCCATATGGGCAGTACTTGGGGTTCCTGTTGGAACACAGCCAACACCTCTTCTGATAAAAGACTCCTATCCACGACAACTTCGAACACAAATTCCTTGAACCAATCTGTGGTCATCATCAAATACCCTTTATCACCACGGTCTTCGCCCCACGAATTTTCGACACGCCACTTGTTTGGAGCACCGTTCTAAACAAACATTTTATAAATAATTATTTTGAATTTACAAACTAATGTGGATAATATTAAGAAAAGAGGAATATCAAGAAAAGATGATTAGGTACAATTGAGTGATACAAGATGGAATATAAATAATGTGGAAGACCAAGTTAAGTGGAGATTAAGAACTAGAGTGGCCAACCTTAAACACATGGAAAAAAAACATAAAAAAGTTAGTTAAATAATGTATCTAATTTTTATTTTTAGGATTTACTCACTTCTATATTGACTCCAGTCAATACCATTGCATGTGTCATGGCAGATTCACCGTATAACATGCGTTCAGCTTTAGACATTGGTATTGAAACATCAGTTCCAAAAACTAACTGGTAATCGTGGCTAAAATAAATAGATCAATATATAATTTTTATTTTAACAATTATAAACATTTAGAGATTATTTCAAAACCACTTACATTTTCAAATCTTCTAAGCCAAGTTTGTCAGAAAATCGTTTGCTGACCTGACAACCGTACCACACGGGTTCACCCCGAGTCACAATGGATTCCTGAGCTGCCTTGATTAATACTTCAATGGGTTGATTGTTGTAGAGAACTTTACGACCGCCAGCCATATTATTTAACATATCCAAAGTATACAATCTACCATATTTGTTGTTTGGCCTTGGATCCGAAATCAGACACACCTAGACATTAATACAAATATCATAGGTTAATTGGCCAATTGAATGAGATTCATTTTTTTATTTATTTATGTTAAATTCTAATTGATAATTTAGAAGTGCATACACATTTAGATCAAATATTGTAACCCTAAAATGATTATTTTCTGTCTAAATTTAATTTAAAATTTGTTTTAGTGTAAGCCAAACTGATAAAATAGTGTCAATTGATATTAGCGCTAACATTAATATCAATATTATCAATTTATTCTTTAATGGATCAATTAGTGTAAATTAAAATCGAACCATCAAGCTATATCCCTATAAATTATTTTAAGTAGTATACATTTTTAGTGGTAAAATAATGATACCCTTATAACATTTTGAAATTATTTACAATTATGTTTTATTTAAATTAATATCAATACACAATGAAGTACACAATAAATAACTATTTTAGTATTTAAAAAAAATAAAATTTAACTTTATAGTACAAAAAAAGTAAAATATATACATACAATTTAGTAAAATATAATAATTATTGAGGGTTACATCAATTGACCTATTAACTCACAACACCAAGGTGACAACATGAATTGTTGAATATTATAACCTAACTCTAGTGCATACCTTTTCTGTAACATCAAACACTGGTTTAACGTGTTTCTCGTAGAATTCCAATGGTGAAATAGGACCAATTGTATGAAATTGTTTAGACTTGTCATAGTAATTCCATTGAAACGTAGTTGGTGGTATACCCAAACAAATACCAGTAATTCGGAATATGATTTCCATTTGCTGTTCAATTTTGCCGTTAATCTCATTGTCTGTTGCATTATCACTGACAAGTTTGTGCAATTCGATGGCAAATTCGCGAAGCTAAAAATACAAAATGTTTAGCATAAACAATGTTTACATAAGTCACTATGACATAAAACAATACCTTGCTGTTTAGAATAACATTAATTGTATTACTGGCTTCACAACTGAAAGACTCTGGGTAGTTCTTCTTTGGTATCAAACCATATTTGGTGATTATATTGACCAACATGTCCCACTGACCTCCATCTTCAATGGGTTTCTTCATTAAAAAAAAAAAAAAAAAAATATTGTGAAGTTTTATATAATTTTTCCTTTAATAATATAGTTAAATGCACTTACAGATAGTAAACTAGCAGTAGTTCTGTCATCAATTGTTTCGCCTCGCTTAGCCGTTTGTATGATTGCATTCAAAAAGTAATTGCTCCTTTCAATCTTTAACACAATAATAATTAGTTATAAAATGAAAATAACTTAAATATATTTTAATATATATATATAAAATCTGTTTAAATAATATGAGTATATTTCAAATGCATATTTTTCAGTATTTATAAAGAAGCAGATTTGCATGAAATATTGAATACACACCTAATATTAAATATTTATAAGACAATTTTTTTAAGATGTGTTAAAAATCTAAAAACCATTATAACAATATAAACTAAATAATTTACTTTGCATAGTTTTATTAATATAACAATAATATTTTTTTTAGTAATTTAAGGTGACAACACCTACACAAGTCTAAAATTGGTAAACATGTAAGTAAATACACCCCTACTTACATAATACTTACAGTTATTGAGTTTGGTTTTTAAAAAATTATTTAATTACTAAATAATAGTATATATTATACATAAAAAAAAAAATTTAATCACAATAAGTTTGTACACACAATATACTTAATTTATTTAAGTAAAAATAACTAAAAATACTAACGTATGAACAATTTAAACTTTAAAATAAATAATAATACACAATCGGACAACAGCCATGAAAATATTTTATTTGAAAAATCTGTGCAATGTTCTATTTGTTATATGGTTAAACCTTCATTGTAGTCACAATGCATTTTATATCCCTTAAGAGGGAAAAAAACCAGTTCTATTGAAAGAGCACACAATTGTGTAGAAGGGACCACCTATTGTTATGTTGGTCCTTGAATCGGGCCAAGGACATACTCATATACAATATTTCCCCCATAAAATCGGTAACAACTGGTGGAATTTAAAACAAATATTACCTTATCCCAGAAAAATATATGAGCTTGACTGAACTCAAATTCTTCTAAGTTAAACTGTTTGATAAACGGAACTCTGATCACATTTAAACAAGCGAATATCCAGCAGCGTCCTGAACTTTTTTGGTTAGTCACAGGTTTTCCTTCAGATTCAATCTATTGACATAATAAAAATGTAAAATCAAAAAGTATTTTTATTATAAAATAAATATTTTCGATCAACAAACAAACCTTGTGCGTATAATAATGATGAGCTTCTTGAACTCTATTCCTTGAAGTGCTTACTTCTGTTGGACTAACGCGAGAACAAGCATTTTGAGCCAACACATTTTTAGCATCACTGTAAAATGCGTCACGGAATTTCGATAAAGTATTGGAACTAATAACAGCTGAAAAATACAAAAACATTATGTTCCAGTGTACATCAGTAAAATGTATATAAATATATATTATATTGCACATGTGTAAGCTACCAATGAATTATCCATAGTTTAATTTGGTGCACCTAGTCATAAATCTATTACCAACATACTGTGCTATAGGTAATTCATTAGAAGTTTTTTTTTATAGGTATGATTTTATGATAGTTTCTGCGTAGCTATATATTCGATAATAGTCAATAAGCTATATTAAACAACGAAAAAAACAAATTAAAAAGAATTCCAAAACATAATTCATCGAGAAGACAATACATATATGCAGTGTTCAACCTTGAACCCGTGTAAATATAACAAAACAGAATTTACGCGCAGCTAATCCAACAATTTATCAAAAGGATTGTATTTTCTGAAACTATCTACAAAGACGTGAACATTGTCATCCAGTGTGTGTTTCAAATATTGGTTCACTGTAGTCCATTGGACACAGTAACGGTAAATTAGTTTTATTATTAAAAGTTTTCATCTATTTTCCAATCGCATACCATCATGGAGTCAATATTTATACTAGCTTAGATTTTTCATTTTAAGAAATTTAGAAGAAAAAAAAAAATAATATGAAACATAGTTTTTTCCTCAAAATGTATATAGGTACCAAATATCAAATTAAGTAAAAATAAAATATTTGTTTGTAATTACCTACCCAAGTACAAATCTAATCTTCACATATTTACATTTTTTAAACATATTGAGTGTTATCAGTATTGTTTACGGGTTTATTAATACATATTTGTTAAAAGTATGCACAGTTAAAATATAAATTTTATTAAGCTGCATTACAGTACAGTACATGCAAATTAAATTTTTGATTTCTTTCGTAGTTAAACACACATAATACAAAGTAAATGTACAATGTTTTAATTAGAGGACATTCCATTTTTTTAAATCTAGAATGCATTTTTGTGCTCTGTACTACCTACCTACTGTTTTACAATTTATTATTCAAAAACATTCAATTTAAAACTAAATAATTAGTAGGTAACAGAATATCTTTATATTTTACATCTATACGAGTAGCAATTACTAAAATTACAAGTTTAAAAAAATTGAATATAAATTATGTACCTATATATTTGTAAAAAAAAAAAAAAACAACAAAAGATAGGTATATTAGGTCTAAATAATTTATTTAAGTGACTACCCAAGCATTTAAAATCAAAATTAATAATATTACATTCATATCTTAGTAAACTTTCAAAGAAAAAAATTCAGTTATAGAATCGCTGTTAAATGGACAAAAATAAAATAAATCATTCAATAGGTCACTCGATATTTTATGTTATGAAAAGTAATAACAATTGTTTAATTTAAAACCCGGTTTAAAATATATTTAATAATGCCTATTTCTTTTAATAATTAATGTTAATGTCAGTTGGTTTTATTAATAGAATAATGAAGGTGATAATTGAGTTAACTAGTTTAAGGTTATTTTAAATGATACAACATTACCAATAGTTACCTATTACAACAGTTAATACCTACTAACTACTTCCGTGATTTTATTTTATTGAAGTCATGAACAATTTGATATAGAAATATCAGTAAAAATATTAAATTATAAACAAATATTGCTAAAAGCACAAAAAAAGGAAAAAAAAAACTATAATACTCTCTATCTACACTTTTAATTTAAAATTAGTATTTCAATAATTAGGTGGGTAGAAAACTATAAGAAAATAATATCTATAGTGACCAAATTCCTCAAGTTTTTTTTTTTTTATCAGAAAAACACGTTTAATTAAAATTTCGATAGGTACCTTACATATTATTACAAAGCATCTATTATTATTATCAATCACCAATGATTCGGCAAAATTTTGAATAGAAAAATTAATAATAAACCAAAATTTCGAAATAAAAAAAGCCAATAACACAAATAGGTTTTTTTTTAAAATTCACTGAACAAATATTTGTATTAGGTAAACCGATGAAATTGCTTAGGTCGGTGGTTTTCAAATTTTTCATAAACACTGTGTGTGTTTCGCCACAAATAACTTTTTCTCCAATAAGGACCTTTCTTTCACACCACACATTTTGAAAACTACTGTGTTTAGGTTATCCGATAGCAAAAAAAAAAAAAAAAAAAAAAAATGACCGTTCGACAGTCATTGATGAGTCAATGGATGTTTTAGATTTAGTCTTTGTAAACATAGTATATACACCATGACTGTTAAGGTATAAATGTATTTTTTTTTTTTGTATTCTCCATATAAACAGAGTGAATATAAAACCAATAGGTACTCGGTGTTAATTGTTTAAACAAAAAAAAAAAACGCATAGATAGGTACCGAACACAATACAAAGGCGGTAAAAATGTGTCATTTATAACCAATAAAATGTCGTTTGTTTGCAGATTTGTTTGATAAAACAAATAAAAAATTAACAAACTGGTAAATATTAACCACCTACGGTACGTTATTAAACAAATAATACGTCGGTAGGTACCTATTTTAATGTCTACCGGCTAATGAGTGCGCTGCCTATACGCGAGTTGTTGAGTGTAACCTTTGCTAGTTATCAGAAAAAAAAAAAAAAATGCAACACGTTATTCTCAAACACAGTATAGTCTACATCAAAACAATACACAGATAGTGTACCTCCTCCTTGTCTGTCCACAATAACTTAATCCGCGCACTCATATTACGTTATCTACGTTATTTTTATCTAACCCAGTGAGACGTTAAAAGTACACTTATCTACACGAAAACTCTTGTAGACGTATTTTGTTTGTATTTACATCGCGTACGTCCCTGCAGTCATATTTGATAATGTTGCCGAGGCATTTTAATGCGGCCGATTGAACATTACAATGTCGCGCGGCTACGCGGTAGGTGGCCTACTTATTCAAACGCGTTTTCAGAAACGGGAATATCGCGTGGCCCAGATACCTCGGACTTTAAAAACGTAATTTCCAACACGTTTCTGTTCACACGGGGTACGGGCAGTCGAAAAAGAAATCCGATATGGGGCCGCGCAGCGGGTACGGTTTAATTATCGTCTCACAAATAGATCGTAACACGACGGACGGGCCTGCGAAAACGGGGGCTACGCGTTTTGAAAATCGACTACGGCGGTCAAACGAATGGCGCGGACACACGGAATTCCGTGGCGGAAAAACGCCAATCGAGATAGGGGAGATAGGGGTGGCGTCGAGCGGACGGCGGTCAAGGGACGGGCGCCTGTAAGATCGGGAGGCCCGCGGTCGCAGCGAGAAGTCGTCGGATACTTACAAGAGTAGATTTTCGCCATTTCTCGACGGGACGGTTGAAAACTTTGCCGGCAATCGGAACGACAACAACGAAAATACTATCAAGTAGTATTGTCGGAGGTACGGTATTCGTCTCGAGCGACGGCTGCTGGACTGGCGCGTACGCTCGGCGGCCGAAGTGCGCGTGCGCGAAAATTACAAACGCAGAAAAAAAAAAAAAACGCGAGAAAAACGCGATGAACGGTATAAACGAGATGAAATCGACGGGAACGGAGCGGCGCGGACGGACGAACGATTCGGACGAGCGCGACAAAAACACAACACAAGTGTCCGGGGCCTCGACCGCACAAAACCGAGCGCGGAGAGTGCGCGTGCGCGCGCGCCGCAGTAGCGACCGGCGAGGCGGAGGAGGACGCGGCGGTACGGTTTTGGGCGGGGCGTTTACCGTTGCACCGACCTCGTGGAAGCGAAAACGTGTCGGTTTCTTGTTCGTTTCGATTTGATTTTTTTTTTTTTCCTGTGCTGCCCTCGACTAACCGCCAATTTTGGTCGGTTCGAAACGATCGAGCGCGCACACCCTCGCGGCCCTCTCCCCGGCGGTTTTCGGTTATCCAAAAATATCGCACGACCCGTCGCCCACTCGAGCACACGGGCAGCCGCACAAAACGCACCACACCACGCCACGGTACCCACCGCGGCCGCAGGGCTGCCACCTTATTGTTGTCGGCGAGAAAAAAAAATTCGTATTATTTTCAAAATCCATCCCCCGTCGACCCGGGGACCTTTTTTTTTCTTTCTTTTTCCCCTCCGTCGTCGCGCGCGACAAAGGAACCCCCCGCCCGGTCCGAAGGTCTTTTCGGCGGGTAGGTGGACTTGCCCTGACTACCTGACCGGAATGTGCGATCGGTTCGTTTTCGAGACGTGCGCAACAATAATGTGCACGAGCAATATGAGAAAACACGAACGCGATAATATCGCCGGACGTCTGGCGGGTTTATCGTCGAATGTTAATTTTTTTTTTCTTTCTATTCCTTCTGCGAGGGTCGACTCGTACGCCGCGTGAATACGACGTCCTCCTATTGTGTGGCGCGGGAACTCTAAAAATAAAAATGATAATTCCGTCTTGTCGAGTGCGTTGCGGAATGTACTCGGCGTACGGACTCCCTGGACGTCGATATTCGGTTCAACACGACACTCGATTTTCGTTATTTTCGCTTGAACCTTGAACGCGTTCGTTCGCCGTTCGTTTTCATAACACGCTGATTACCTAATGGGGAATTCGACCCGGCGCTATCGGTTCGTTGTGTAATGGCACGCGAATAAATAAACAAACCAACTGTTATTATTATCGTTATCATCGCGGGGAGCGACGAAAACCGACCGGCTATTCTTGCACGCTCGCGTAACGCACGCGCCGGCCGACAACTGCTGCAGTTTGGTATTCACGCACGGTTTCTTGAGATGCCGTAGCCGCCCGCCCGGACCCCGACGACGCGGCGGCGAAATAATAGTCAACGGTCGGAACGGTTTTTACGGACCGCGGAAACGCGCAACAACGTCGGCGGCCGACACGGAGGACAAATCAGTGGTGACCAAACTGTACCGTGGTAGGTGGCCGCCGCCGCCGCCGCCGCATTATTTTCGCGGACGCTAAATCATCATCGCCGATCGACGATTCCCCGCGCCGTAATCCTGTCCTACCCGACCGCCAACGGCGATTTTTCCCCGACGGTCGCCCCGGATATCCTATACACGAATGCCGATGGTTCCAACACGACCACGCCGGAACGTTTCCACGCCGATTAGCGATTCGCCCTTTTCATATGCCGGGCGTGCGGACGTTCCCGGGGGACGGTCTGGGTACAATTGGGCGCTACAAACGTTCAAGAGTTATACTTGTTGGTGTTTTTTGGGCGTTTTGGGTGAAATTTAGATACGAACACGTTCGCGGTGGGCGGAGGCGGTTATGAATTCCGAATTCCGCTACACCGCGAGAAAAAAAATTACAGTTTGAGCGCCACCGGGATAAATGATATTATCGACGGCCGTACGACGAGGGCTTTGTTCCGGAAAAGGACGACGCGGCAAAAGAGAGTCGCGTCAATTTTCGCGTTCATTTTTTTTTTTCTCTCTCTCTCTCTCTCTGAAAAAAAAGCCCTCTAATATTATAATAACGGGAATGTCATCGCCCGTAATTCAGATTGTCGTTTCGCCACGGCGTCCTATCCGAAGTCCCGCGGAACGGTGCGGAGCGGCGCGGTCCTCTGAGCCGAAGTTTCTCGACCGGGCGGCCGCCGGCCGAAACTACGAGACATCGCGCATAAAACCGCGCGCCCGTGCATAGGGGAGGCAAGAAAAAAAACCGAACATTCATACGGGGGAAAGGTAAGGGGGGGGGGCGAGGGCTGGCGACACAGTAGATCGACGAAGCGATCCGAGAAACACGACCGCTCCTCCAAAAGGTCGTGCAACATGAACGGGCATCGCGCGGGCTATTGTGCGCGATTTATCGCGGTACACCAAGAACCGAATAGCGCAGACCGTGGGTGACGAGAAAGAGGCGGTCGGACGAGACCGAGAACGCGCGGGTTACGGCAATACGCGGTGCACGGAACCGCGACAATCGAGACTACGATTGGGTTTCCGGTTGTTTGTTATCCGCGACGACCGGCGGGCGGACGGTCGCGCGCGTTCCGAACAGAATTCGATAATGTTACGCGACCGACGCTGTAGCGATTGATACTCACACGAAAAGTTTGCGGCCATTTTTCCGAATAGAAACCGTTCGGGATGCTGCAGTGGGACTCCGCGGGAACGGCGACGGCGGTGCGCGGTACACGATAAACAACAATAACAAAACGTACGTTGCCGCGGTTAACAGCGGCGGAAAAGAAAAAAAAAACACGACGGCGGCGTAGTGCGTGAGCGGGAAAACGGAACGGACGGGTGGAGGTTGAGGGAAAAAAAACGACAAAAAAAACGCGCGAAAGAACGGGTTCCGTGCAGTACGGGCTGGACGGGCTGTGCGAAACCGCGTGAACGACCGAACAGACTGTCTCTGCCTGCCTACGCGTACCGAAACCGAACATTACCCGACGACGACGGCGGCGGCGACGATAAATCGTGTCCCCGTGGCACACTAGCGCAACCAAGTAGCGGGGAACCGACGGTCCGGCGGGGCGCGGCCGTTTACCGTTGCGACGACCTCGCCGAGGTGACCGCCGCGCGCGGCGCGCGACCGTTTCTCCGTTTTTTCTCCGACGTTTTTATTTCAAATTTTTTGGTTTCTCCTCCGTTCACCGACGGGCGGGCCGGAGAAAAACAAAAACGCGGGACGTGGACGGGGATCATATCTGTACGCTACCCACGGCCAATGCCGGCGAAAAAAAAACCGATTTCGAGCGGAGTTCGGTCGATAGCGGTGCTCCGTCGACATTATGCCATTATTCAGGTCGTTCGGCTTTTTGATCTCGCGCGTGTGTGGTAAAACTCCGCGGGCCGAGCCGGTACACAGAATATAAAAAAAAAAAAAAAAACGCAGACAGCATGGGAAAGTTCGCGAAAATAACGGCCGTGTCGGTTTCGATTTTGCTTGATTCTTTCCACAGTGATAGCTGTGATTGGGTGTTACAATTATTCGCGGGGGTCAGTAATTTCGACAGAAAACTCGCATCGGTCATTTCTAGACGCGCAGGCCTAGAAGAGCGGCGCATAGGCGTTTTACGTTTCCGATTTTTTTTATTTTGGTTCAGTTTCAATGACGGTTACAATAATCTTTGCATTTGTACGCGTGTGCGTAACTTGACCGTGCCGTATACCCCGCCGATTTCCCTTCTACATCGGCGGAGCTCGCATATCAGCAGTGTGCCGCAGTGGCGCCCGGGTACGTAGCGGACGCTGTGCCCGTGACATTTCGCGGCGGCCGGCGTCCCGCCGCGTTTATTCGTGCGTGGTGGGATCGGTCGGCGTAGAACCGGGTAGAAACACTCGAGGTACGGGGTAGGCCGCGGCGGGCCCGAAAGTACGCCACGCGTTTTGTATGGGTAAATGTTGTTGGGGTGTACGGTGGTCTGCGATTTCGGATACGGTTCGGGCGCCGCTGGCCGCTATCAACTCACGCGTTTTGAACCGGGAGCGCGGCGAGGGGTCCGTTGGTTTTGCATTAAAAATTAAAACCGCGGGGTATAAAAACGGCTACGCGGCGCGCGTCGCGTTCTCGTCACTAACCAGTTCGGTAACGCGAGTCAACGATATCCGCCGCGTAACGTTAAAACCGACGGCACACGGCGAATTTGCTTCGCCGAAAAAAAAACCAAAAGCGGTCGGATCCTCGTGGTCGTCCATCAAAGCCATTTTCAGGTTCACGCGAAATGGCTAACATTCGAACAGCCAAACCACCAGCGGAGGCGACATCACCGGATAGGTTACTTCGGGCGACAAGAGCATCGTTTTTTAACGGTGGTAAACGTGCAGCAGCCGATTTATTAAAACAGTCGACTGAATACTCTCCCGGGTCGTCCCGCGAAAATTTGGAAAACTTTCCGTGAATCATTAGACCAAAAACAATATAGCACCGTGTACCGTAGACGAAGCGCTGGCTCGTACGGTTAATTGTCGTACGGCAAAAAACGTGTATCGCCAAACTCGATTTGGCGATACACCAAACGCGGAGTAATAGTGCGTATCCTTCATATGATCGAATGCGAGAAGCAAAAAAAAAAAAATTACGTTATCCTGATGTATGGGGATGAAAGTTGATGAAACGGTCCAAGGTCAATGGACATCTGTCTAATACCGGGAATGTGGACAGGAGATTTTTTTTCGAAAACGCAGAAACGTCCGCGAAAAAGCGTTGATTTAAATGTAATCGAAAAATCAGGTGATATATTAATTGCAATATCTAGTGGATATGAAATCTATTTTGAGTCGTTTGATCAACATTGTCAACAAACAGCATAACTATACGTTGAGTTGTACAACTGGTATCGCACGCCTCCCGGTATGCATACGGTTTTGTTACGTGGTTCTATTGTAACAAAAAAAAAAAAAAAAAAATGCACTAGGACCACCATCCGAAGAAACACAAGAAGCGTGCAATGAACACTATACAAATTTTACGGAAAATCGCGAAATTTTCACGAATGAGTGCAAATACCGATTTAATGCACGCTCCGTTGATCAATTCAGACCCACCCGGTGATATCTTCTGAAAATTTCTGAAAACACCAATTGGCAGAATTACCGTCCTCGGTAAAACAATTGGTAATTACAAACGACGACGGAGAAACAGTACACTCAGACGTGAGTTCTGATTTAGAATTAAAATATCACAGAGAAATACTGTATCTATTTATTAGCATTTTATCAATCGAATTTAGCCGTTTTATTACTTTTCGTTTGTAAACATATACTTTTAAACGTTAACATGACACTATCACTGTAATCAATTAAATATAATATTCCGTTATTATGAAGTATATTTTTGTCGCGGTAAAACCTCAATTCCCCTTGCCGTGCGACGGTGCTATTTTTCGACGAATCCCCAAAAACCCCACACTTGCGATAAAACACACGACGAAACCGCGCAATATTTTTAAGTCTCAATATCCGAAAATCGCACATTTTATATTACTATTATTTATTAATAATTAATCTGAAAATGCGTAAAATAAAATATCAAATATTATAACTGTATCCTTAATTAGCGTTGTTAAATATTAATGAAAAAAAAAAAAAATGATCAAAATTTTATGCAATAAGCCGACGTTTTTTAAAATAATTAAAAAAATATTTAAAAAAATAAAACGTCCATAAAATGATTGGTAGGAATCGATAGCCGATGTTTTTTTTTTTTTCGGAAATTTTAAACGGAATTTCCGCCCTTCGAAAATTCTTCCCGACATTTAAACAAGTGTTCCTAAAACACACAAAAGCACAATGTGACGAGAACGAATGTAATGGCCGATATTGAAATGCGCCCGGTAACCAACTGGTGTTTGTTTTTCAAATTGGACGCTCAATGTGTTCGTGTAACAATATGTTAAACAATATTATATTTTATAATTAGCGCGGGCAGTTTTAGCGTACTGTAAATGCGCGGTATCCGGCTGTACAACGTATTTACTTGTCAACTTGATGAAGCGTGCGGTTTTTGTTTACCGACCTTTTTTTTTGGAACGGAAAACCATGTGTGTGCGCGGCTATCGAACGCGACACTTTTTTTTTAGGTCTAAACCCGAACTAGTTTTCGGACAATCCGTGTTTTGATTCCGGATACCTTTAGTTGACTGGCCTATTCTTTAGCGGCGTCGACATTTGATATCCGCGCCCTTTTTGAAAACCGGAGTTATTGTAGACATTTTAAAAGATTCTGGTAGTTGATACTGCATTCTGGGACACATCGAAATTCGAACTTTAATCATACTTATGTAAGTTATCAATTATAAAAGTATATGTCTATAAATAACCGTGTTACAGATCACAAACAGATCGGCTATTCAAAATTGTTCGGCCATTACGCTTACTTAAAACCGGAATAAACTCGATTTTCAACCCGTTTCGCTAACAACGGTTATTATTAGCCATTGTACACGGCCAGTATTTCGTGTGTAAACGTATTACGAATTTCGGTATCGAGCGTTGATGAGAACCGCTCGCGCAAACGCCGAAAATGACCGCGCGCCCGCAGCGCCGCGCTCCTCGTACTGTTATCACGGCTCCGCGGTAAACGGTATCCCGGAAAACGGGACGAGGTGATAAGCACGGACCGCGGTTGCAGTGTGAAGAGTAACAGCTGTACAGGACATTCGCAATGTACCCAATATTATTGTGTAGACCGACGGCAGGTGTGCGCGTGTGTTGATGATAGCTGCAATGCATCTCTAATCTCTTAACGATCCTAAATTCTCCTGACAAGTTATTGATGACCGAAGGTCGTACGAAAAGAGCGAACTGTTTTTTTTTTTTTTTTTAAAAACTTTCTTATTAATAATAATAAAACAAGTAAGTACCTGTGCACGAAACAAATTCAACAACGACCGGGGGAGGGGGTTTGATCGCCCCTGTCGCCCTCCCTCCCTCCCTCTCTTCTATACGCCCCCGATTGAAACTATTTGCCGTCAATTTCGGATGTTCGCCGTCATATTACAAATAGCGTTCACCGTCGTTCGTTAGTGTTTCCCGAAGGATATTTCGTTCATTGCGCTCGGTCGTATTGCCGCTAAATGTCTTCCATTTTAATTTCGAATCGTCGTAGTCGCCATTGTTTAATTCGGACCACCGGCAAATCGGCTTTTGCCGTTGCAGTTGATATTTCGTTTCTTTTGTAGTAGGTTTGAAGTAGGACGTACGTATCATCATAACACAGTCTCGTTCACCGTCACAGATGAACTGTACACCGGTGTACACGAATTGTTTTATTTGCCTGTGCGTACCATTGATTATTTGTTGGAGTAATTTTTTTTCTCAAACCGTTCGTACTGCATACCTCGGTTGTATTAACGTATTTCACACGACAACGTACACAGATATGCCAACAATTTTGCGATACGCATTGTGTTCGCCACCCACTAGTATTTTTTTTTTTTTTTTGTCAACTATAATATTGAAACCACGTCGTATTCTATTACAATGACGCAAAAATATGGATACGCTTAAATGTTATACACGGTGTAACAATAATCACGCCACAACAGCAGTCGAATTCTATACGCGGGCGTGCGCGGGATTTTTTCGCAAGGTTTGCCGTACAGAAAACCGTTACAGTAAAGGCCGTTAGTCTTAAAGCGGATCTCATAACCCCGCGCCTTAAATGAAAAAAAAAAAAAAAAAAGGAGAAAGCGAATGCGAAATATCGATTCATTAAAAATCATACTTTTTACTAACCACGGGTACCAGTGTTTCACGAAAACAATATTATTATCTATCTAAACAAATTATTATAGACGATGGTTATATAAGAAAGAAAAAAAAATTACCCGATATCTTTTTATAATAAACCATTACATCACTAAAAATAATTTAAAGGTTACGAGAGCTGTTAAAAAAAAATCACCGTATATTTTAGTAT